CAAGAAAACGAAAATACACAGTCGAATTTTGGTGATCATGCTTAAAAGATGTAGTTATTATGATTTTATGGTAAGAAAGAAGGCAGTTAGGTTAAAATAGACAGTTAAATAGTGTATAGTTGATTATAAATATAACAACATAATAAAAAAAATTGTAATTCCTTGCTAGTTATTGTACTAGGGTTCTGTATAGATATACAATTCGGATTGTTAGGATGAATGTACTTTTTTTTGGGGTCAAAATGTACTTCTTGATCATAGTTTGGAATTTTGGTAGTTGCATTTTATATAGAGATACAATGTGGATTATTAAGGATAAATGTACTTCTAGTAATGGGGATTTGTATCTTATCTGAACACACAATCAGGGGTTGGATCCTCTAACAATATCATCAGTTTTTTCTTCGGCACAATTCGTTGGAGAGAAAGAAATTAATGGAAAAGATTGTTTCATCCTCAAGTTATCGACGGACCAAATTGATTTATCACGACGCAGCGACTCTACGGCTGAGATGATCAAACATATTGCCTTCGGTTACTTCAGCCAGAAAAGCGGCCTCTTAGTTTGCCTTGAAGACTCTTCCTTAACCAGGTACACAGTAGTATTGGCTATTTTATACTATTTGGTTTGGTTAAGAACTTAGGATTATGTTACCAAAATCGAAACCAAAATTATTTCGGTTTTACATAGTTTGGAATCCACATTATACAATGATAAACATTGTTCTGTAACAGAAGGCAGTTTAAAATTTGTCTTTGGTTTATTTACGGTCTTGTTTGGACTTTACGGTCTTGTTTGGACTAGTTCATATTGTAGGTTCATGGTTGACTTTGCACTACTAAGTCATCTTCTTCTTTTTTTTTTTTTTTGGCAACAACTACTAAGTCATCTAAAAACTCTTTTTTAATAACCAATTGGCCAAAATCCATACTAATTCCAAAACATAAACAATTCGTTTTTTTTTTTCACTTTGAAAATAAATGTATGAGATTCCATTTCAACAAACAGGGGAATCCTCAACTACTAGACGTTCATTATTGGTTTTGAGAAAACAATATGGTTTGTGAAATGCAGAATACAAATACCGGGAACTCTACCGACATATTGGGAAACCTCAATGTCGTCGCTGATGGAAGATTACCGAGCAATCGAAGGTAGTGAAGTAGTGATCGCGCATTCAGGTAAAACAGATGTTTTGATATCAAGATTTGGAGAGACACTCAAGGGAGGAATCTCCGTGACTCGAATGGAAGAGAGATGGACTATAGACGATGTCGCATTCGACGTGCCTGGCCTTTCCGTCGATTGTTTTATCCCTCCTAAAGATATGAAGATGGATATTCACCACCAAGACGGTCTAAAACATTTCACAACTTATT